TATCTGTAAATGTGAGAACAGGTACCCCACGTCCCATTGTAACCGCTGCTGGTTCCCCTATTTACCACTATAACGTTTTAAAGCTTAGAATTTATCAGGGCTAACCATACAGATATCTTAGGCATAATATTATATAGTTAGTAAGAGATCCTCTATTTAAAATATATAAATAATTGAGAATACAATATAAATAAGGATTGTCTTGGTAGCAATAAAGTTATTACATAAAAATATAAATATAGATATATAAAAATGTAATAATCCATTACAATAATTTATAGCAGAGTTTATAGGATTAAAGTATATGCTTGCAATATCAGTAAAATAGAATAACATACTCTCATGAACAAGTCAACCTTTCAGTAATGATAAAATGGTGCAGTACATATATATTTATACCTTAGATGTTCAATTAGGTCATTTTAGGACCTACCTTAACTTGGCAAAGATAGGGGGGCATAACTTTGCCATTTCATATGGGAACATCTTATCTATGTTTAGACTGTAAGGGTACACATGCCATGGGAAATTCCCTGACTTGGGGAATTACACTAACCTTGGACAAGATGGCGTCCTAATGTCCGAACACCATAATCACTGAATATGGGTAAGAAGTCACTTGTTAAAGAAACATTGTATGAAAAACAATATTTACCATTTGTAACAAATTTTCAGTTTACAAAATCTCTTAAAGATAAGCACAGAGTTTAAAAAATAGAACTTTTCAATCTAAAAACTTGTAATATTTGCATATGCCCATAACCACCCTAGTACCATAGAGACTATAGAGCACACAGCAAGTCTTCCAACACATACAGATTAATCCCTGGCGATTATCACTTACAGTCAGAGCTCAATCGAACATCTCTGGAGAAACCTGAAAATGGCTGTCCATCGACGGACAGTCCTCATTCACCTTGACAGAACTTGAGAGAATCTGCAGGAATGAATGGCAGAAACTAATCCAGATGTTCAAAGCTTGTCACATTGTAACCAAAAAGACTTGAGGCTGTAATTCGGGATTATTCTAACTCCTAGTGACCGAATAATCTAAATTTTATTAAAGACAGGAGGCGAATATTTGCTTATCTTTCTTTACTGTAACTCCCAGCAGCAAAGAAACAGTTAACAGCAGTGTAAAAAAGTTTAACCAATCAGTATGCATTACAGTAGTATAAACTGTCATCAGGCTTCTCCCAATTCCTCTTTCTTGATGTAGCCGAACAGTCGTAGAGTCAACCATGTAAATGTAGAAACCTTAAAAACGATGAACAGGTAACGGTGTAGGTATCCGGTAGGATGAAGGTAGTGATCAACCCGCGGGTAGATTCGATGCAGAAGGCAAATGATCTTCACACTAGGAGGAAGGAGAAACATCGTGAAAGTATGGTCTCTTTGGCAAGAGAAAAAACAAATTAAATGTAGTGAACTGAATTCCAATTTAAGTGCAAGCTCTAACTTATGATAATTAACTGTGTGGTATGTAGAGTAAGTGACATACCTAGAATATAATAACCAATGTACAATTGAAAGCGGGTTTAGCATATAATAGCGACCTAATGAGTATAGGCTAGAGAGAAGAGAGGATGTTAGTCATAGTTAGAACTGGAGATAGTACAGGATACCTACCTAGAAGGGTGGGTAAAGAGAAATACAGGGTGGGAAAATATTCGCCTCCTGTCTTTAATAAAATGTAGATTATTCGGTCACTAGAAGTTAGAATAATCCCGAATTTTATGGCAAGACAGGAGGCTTCATATTTGCTATTTTAACGCACAGATAGCAAGGACAGAGAAACGTGTGGAGAATGTCTAAAATAAAAGGTACGGAAGGTGGATTCTCTAGACCAATCAGCGGAGGATAGAATTTCCGCTAAGGAACCTCCGGCTATGAGTGCCGAGGAGGCGGCTGCGCCTCTTACCGAGTGAGCCCCGAAAGATGCGTCAATGCCAGCCAGGGCTAGAAGCCATTTAATCCAACGTGCAATGGTAGGGCACAAGACTGGTTTGTGAGGTCGTACATAAGATACCAGGAGGGGCCCAGTAGGTGCTCTGAGAGGGGTAGTGCGGGCAATATAGTGTCTTATACACCGGGCTACGCAGAGGAGGGGTTTCTCCGAAAAGTAAGGGAAGCTCACAGTAGACGAGTTGGTCTTGGTGCGTCTAGTAATATGAAAGTGTACCCCCTCCGGTGTGAAATCGAGGGCATGAAAGTCGAAAGCCCTGATGTCGGAAACTCTTCGGAAGGAGACCAAGCAAAGGAGGAGAGCTAGTTTGGCTGACAATTGGCGTAGGGAGAGCGCCTCGTTGTCCGGCCAAGCTTCCAAGAACGTGAGCATGATGGCCACGTCCCAGAATTGATTATATTTGGGATTTGGGGGTCTAGCGATGCGTATGCCCCGCAAGAGTCTACAGATAGAAGGGTGTTTGCCTACTGAAGAACTTTCGATAGGAACGTGCGCTGCAGAAATAGCAGACCGAAACACGTTAATGGTCCGGTAGGATTTACCCTGGTCGAACAGAGACAAAAGGAAATTGATAATATTAATTATAGATGTTGAAAAGGGATCAAGGTCCCTTTCCAGGCACCATCAACTCCATAGGCGCCATGCAGAGATGTAAGAGCGTCTAGTTCCCAGGGCCCATGAGTCCCAAAGGAGTCCCTGAGCAGTTGTCGAAAGGCCTGAGACATTCCAAGATCCCCTGAAATGGTCCAAGCCACTAGTTGGAGATGATCCTGAATTGCCAATGGGTGAAAGTTGCCTGTCGGGTCTCTGAGGAGGTCGCAGGTGCTGGGTAGCAGCAGGGGGAAGTCCACTGACATTTCCAGGAGGTAAGGATACCATGGTTGGGCCCGCCATAGCGGGGTCACTAGTGTTATCCTGACACCCTTCTGAGGTGCTGTAGTGTGCGTGGAATCATGGAGAATGGAGGGAATGCATATGCCCCGGACATCGGCCACGTCTGTAGGAAGGCATCGACTGTAAGGCACGCTGGGTCCGGCAACCAGCTGTAAAAAGCGTCCGTCTGCCTGTTGAGGCGAGATGCAAAGAGGTCCAGGTTGAATGGTCCCCGGCAGGCCTGGAGACGGTGAAATATTTGTGGATTCAATTGCCAATCGCTGGAGTCCCTCCAGTGTCGGGAGAACCAGTCTGCGACGAGGTTGTCTGATCCCGGTAGATATTCTGCTCGCAGGGAGATATTCCTGTCTAGGCAGAACTGATATAATTCTTTGGTCAGATCTGAGAGCATCTTCGATTTGGAACCTCCTAGATGGTTCACGTAACGAACTGCGGACACGTTGTCCATCTTCAGCACCACGGAGCAGTTGTAGACATCCTTGGCGAAACTGCGGATTGCGAATGAGCCTGCAATCAGTTCGAGGCAGTTGATATGAAGTGCTCGTTCCGAGTGGGACCAGAGTCCTCCTGTAGAGCTTTCTGAGCAGGTTGCGCCCCATCCGAGCAGACTTGCATCCGATTCCAGGATGAAGTCTGGTTGGGATCCCAAAATGGCTCTGCCATTCCAAGCGTCCATATGTTGTAGCCACCAATGGAGTTCGAGGCGGACTTCGTCCGTGAGTGTGATCTGTTGGTCGTAGGACGTCGACTGATGTAAGTATTGGGTCTTTAGGCGTTGCAGTGCTCGGTAGTGCAGTGGGGCAGGGAATATAGCCTTTATTGAGGCAGAGAGCAAGCCGATGGTGCGGGCTAGGTCTCGCAGGCGGAGGTGTGGTGATATCAGTAACCTCCGAATGTCTCTTTTTATGGATTTGACTTTGGATGCCGGAAGCTGAAGGACTGCTTGAACAGGGTCTATCTGGAATCCCAGGAATTGTATCATCTGGGACGGTGTTAGGGATGATTTCTGGTGATTGATCACGAAGCCAAGATTCTGCAATAGGGCGGAGGTCATGCTTGTGTGAAGGTGGAGAGTTTCCTGGTCCTGTGCCATGAGGAGGATATCGTCCAGATAGATTATGGAGCGGATTCCTTGGGAGCGCAGTAAGGTTTCATTAGTTTGGTAAAGCACCAGGGTGCAGAAGATAGGCCGAAGGGGAGGCAGGTGAACTGCCATAGTGCTTGTTCCCAACGAAACTGAAGGAGGCAGCGGTGTGCTGGTGTTACCGGCACCGTGAGGTATGCATCCTTTAGATCGAAGCGGGAGAACCAATCTCCCTCGGAGAGTAGGTCTCTCAATAAATGGATCCCCTCCATTTTGAAGTGACGGTATGTGATGAACCTGTTCAGATCTCTCAGGTTGATGACAGGTCGTAGACCTCCTGATTTTTTCT